ATTCTGCTTTACTCCAGGTGGTTGGGACCAATTGATGCATCTTAGATGGCCGCTTGCAAGCTTTTAAGACCCCAGATGCCACTCACCAAAGTAGGATGCAGAACATTTTCTTAATAAGCTTTGTTATGCCAATTGACCTAGATGTCCCCTGAAAGCATGGTCCCCAGACCCCCGCCCCTGCTACTCTGTCCCTTGAAGTGTTTGATTATATTCAGGAAACTTCTTAGCTTTGGTTTAGTCCAGTTGTCTAATAAGTACTGCCTTATCATTGTTGTTGTTAGCTGCTGTAAAGTCAGCCCCTGACTCATGGTGGCCCCATGCACAACAGAACAAAACGCTGCCCAGTCCTGCACCATCTCCATAATCAGTTGCAGATCAGACCATCGTGATCCATAGAGTTTTCATTGGTTGATTTTCAGAAGTAGATCACCAGGACTTTCTTCCTAGTCTGTGTTAGTCTGTAAATTCTGCTGAAACCTGTTCAGCATCATAGCAATACGCAAGCATCCACTGACAGACAGGCGGTGCTGCACATGAGGTGCATTGGCTGGGAATCAAACCCAGGTCTCCTGCACGGAAGGTGGGATTCTACCACTGAACCACCAGTGCCATAAGTACTGCTACATTTCCTTCATTTTCTTTTTTATATCCTATATAGCTCATCTGGAGCCCTGGTGGCACGGTGGTTAAGGGCTGCTAACCAAATAGGTCAGCAGTTCGAATCCACCAGCCTTGGAAACCCTATGGGACAGTTCTACTCTGTCCTGTAAGATTGCTATGAGTCGGAATGGACTTGACAGCAATGAGTTTATGGCTCATCTCAGCTTAACAAGGGCCCTTGGTTTTCTACCTGTACATATGAAAAAAGAGAGGGAGAGGGATAAAGTAGAATAAGCACCTACTGTGTGCCAGGCACCGAGTTGGGTATTCTTAGTTAATTTAATTCTCCCAACAACCTTGTGAAAAGAGCTTTGGAGAGAGAGAGACTAGTAAACACATCCCTGTAATGAACTCCCAGCTCTACCATTTGCCTGCTAAAGTATCTCAATGATGTAACTCTGTTTTTCTGATTTTCTGAGCTTCAGTTTCCTCAGCTGTAAAACAGGGATGATAATAATACCTCCTGGGGTTTTTGTGAGGGTTAGTTGTGATCCTCTGTGAACAGAGCCTGGCTCACAGTAGCGCTTGGCAAATGGCAAGTTCAATTACAAATGAGGAGCCGGAGAAGGGAATCTCGGCCTTTCTAGGGCCAATGTGTCAGGGCATCCTCTGCTGAAAAGTTGGAAGGTTCCTACCATCTGTCCCGAGGGCAAGTACATCTTTAGGGCCAGCAAGACTGTGGGTCAGAGATTCCCCAGACCCCTGGAAGGAAGGAATTGATGTGAGGAACAAGCAAGAGCTCACAGGCCGAGCTGTGGCCAGAGACGCCCCAGCCCGGGGTTTGAACTGGGAGTGGCCAAGTGGAAGAGTTGCGCTGGCCACAGGTGAGAGAGGTGGCTGGCGCGGGGAAGTCTCCATCTTCCCGCCCCTGGGAAGTCTCCATCTTCCCGCCCCTGGGAAGTCTCCATCTTCCCGCCCCTGGGAAGTCTCCATCTTCCCG